TTAACTCTATCTCTCTGGGGCGATTTCCTTGACGAAGTATTCGAGGACGAAGAAATAGGCGCTGGATATACAGAGAACGAGACATTCACATCCACGGCAGAACCACAAGTTACAGACCGTTTGGTTGAAGACGAGCTGGATAACTTGATCGACGAGTTTGAGTTCATCCCAGAAGCGATTAAGCACACGATTCCAAGCTTTAATGACCGAAACTTTCCTCAAGAACCCAAGACACTTCAAGGGTTCCGTGGCCTAACGGCAACACTTGCTCAGTTGTTCGGTTGAACAGTGCAATCATTCATGTTAACTTCATATCAATACAACAACATTCACAGTGACAATTCTTCACACTCGAATCGCGTACTGTTGTAGATCACACTGGGAAAGGTCACCTCGGTTCAAATACCACGACCACGCGCGAAGCAGCAACTTCTTTGGTGGTGCTCGCGTCCTCGCACGGAGCCGGATCCTGCTCCTTGAGACCGCGGTCGTTGTCCGACTCGAGTGAGCGACAACCGTGCAGCAGCGGCGGCTCCTCGCCCGGATAGGCCGGGTCTTCGCAGTCTTCTGTTTGCTCTTCATAGCGTCACGAAGCCGCCGTACCGTCAGCGTTGTTGCCCAGCGTCAAGTTGGCGAACGTCATGTGCTTCACGTTGTTGCTGGGCAGCGGACAGAGAGTAAGTAGCCCAACATCTCGCTTATACAGCTCTCCCGCTTGAACACTATCATGTTGCTGGATGCATCTATCAGCTGCATTGGATCCTTGCGCGTGATGGCGTACGGTAGGGCGACGGCGAAGTACTCAGCGGCATCGACCTTGGACACCTTCGCACACTTGGGGCAGATGGAGCTGCCGATCTCAGATCCACCGACCAGCGCTGCGCACATCCACGCCGTCCGTTACCGTGTCACTCACGCTCTCGCGCGAACCGGCGTACAGCTTCCCTCTGATTTCTAAGCGCATCACCAACCAACAGTCAGCACATCAGGGTGATCTAGAAGCAACGTTCCTTACCCAAGTTTCCGGGCGACTCAGCAAAGAGGATCTCGTGTTGTAGCCCAGGGTCGACACCGCTCCGCAGCAATGTAAGTCCAGATCACCTGTACTTCTCTCCTTAAAGGCATCTCCAATAGTAAACTGGAAGGGAACGACGGGAACAAGTTTCACGTTGCACTTGAGATCTCGTGCGTTAGGAACCGCAGTTCAAACGATTTTGACGCGGTTTCCAATGTCGCTCTTTCAGCAACAATAGCAGTTCGAAAGCTCGTTTTTCCACTGCCATTCAGCGTCAATTTACCACAGCTTCTGCTTCTCCACCGTCTAAGGTATTTTGGAACGCCAATTCGTAGTTATCCGAAGTGTTGATCCGTAGGGAACACTGAAGATAAAAAAACGCTCTCGTAATCCCGTCGGAAGAGACCAAATTCGTTGCCAACGTTCACATTTACGTCTAAAACCTGGTCTAGAGGAACTTGCGACGGTTGCAGACATCTAAAATCACCCGAAGATAAAATAAATTCGCGTAAGTGTCCATTCCTCACAACTGCGCCCGGAATCAGCCTACAGTACGCACCCGAAATTGACCCTCAGCTGCTGTATGTCGTGCACCATTTTGCCCATCTGCTTCACCTCAAATGCAGCCACTGTGCGGTCCCTGGCCAAGTTCTTCCGTAGTCGACGACGTGCAGCCACACAATACTGAAAAACCGTAGGCGCATTCTTCTACCCGTTGTCCAGGACGTCGTTGGCCAATTG